AGAAGAAGAAGAAGAAGAAGAAGAAGAAGAAGATGATGATGGTGATGATGATAATGATAGAGATATTGATGATGATGAAGAAGATGAAGATGATGAAGAAGAAGATGATGATTATGATGAAGAAGATATTGATGATGAAGAAGATGATGATGATGAAGAAGAAGATGATGATGAAAATAATGATGATGATGATGATAGTGACGGATATGATGACGAAGAATATGAAGATAGAGGTGAGCACGTGAAACAACGTGTTGCCTGCAACGTGTTCTTGTTTACATCACGTGTTCGCTTCGAATGATGACGATGACGATGATGACGATGATGATGAGGATGATGGTGATGGGGGGAGGTGTGGACGACGACGATGATTATGGTGGTGTTGATGATGGTGGTGTTGATGGTGAAGATGTTTCTCTCTTTGTTTTCATTTTTTTTATTTCGTTAAAAGTTGAATGGTTTGTGTTATAAAGTTCATTTTTTTTGCTTAGTACCTTTCGAAGAATTATTATCGTTATTACTGCTACTACTACTACTACCACTACTACTACTACTACTACTGCTGCTGCTGCTGCTGCTGCTGCTACTACTACTACTACTACTACTACTACGACTACTACGCTACACTTACTACTGTAACTACTACTATTACTTCTACTACTACAACTACAATTACTTCTACTACTACTACTACTAATAATAATAATAACTATAGTTTTAATAATAATAATTATAACCTATAGAAAACCGAAAGTAAATAACTTGAGCCATTTCTATTAACTATCTTAAACTGATCAATAACGAGAAGGTTGAATTTAAAAAGACAACAACAACAAAAACAGTATTAATATCGAATAAAAGTAAAAATATCAATCTATTACAAAGTTGAAGACGATTATGATGTTGTTGTTGATGTTGTTGTTGTCGTTGTTGATGATGATGATGATGTTGATGTTTCTATTGTTGTTGTTGTTGATGATGATGTTGCTATTGTTGATGTTGTTGTTATTGATGGTGATAATAATGTTGTTGTTGTTGTCGCTGCTTTTGTTGTTGTTGTTGATAATGATGATGATGAGGAGGAAGACGACGACGACGATGGGGATGATGATGATGATGATGTTTATTCTTTTAATTATTCTTTCTACTACTACTACTACTATTTTCGTTATTGTGTCATAGTTTAGAAGGTCAAAATCAGATAAATATCTTCACTCTCATTTCTGTACTTTCTCTCTCTAACCCTCTCTTTCTCACCCTCTCTTTCTTTCTCTCTCTCTCTCTCTCTCTCTCTCTATTTCTGTTTCGTTTTATCTATTTTTCACTCTCTCCCCACCGAGCGATCTCTCTCTTTTTTAGTCGTCCTTATTCTCATTTTTTTCTACTACACTTTTACTTTATAACATCTTTGTGTTTTTAAAATTTTTCTCTCTCTCTTTTTTTCTCTCTCTTTCTCTTTCTGTCTCTCCTTATCTCACACTTACACAACACACCCAAACAAACACAGACAGACAGACACACACACACACTTTCTCACACACACGCACACACACACACACGCACACACACACACACGCACACATATACACACACATATATACACACACACACACAAACAAACACAGACACACACAAGCGTGTTTATTGTTTACTATTAATACGGCAATAAAAAATGAATAAAAAATAAAAAATAATAAAAACATGTTTTCTTGAATGCTCTTCTCTAGCAGATTTCCTGGAATGAGTGAATGAACGAACGGATGAAAGAATGAAAGAAAGAATAAATGGATGACTGGATGGATAGATTGATGATTGATTGATGGATGGATGGATGGATGGATGGATGGATGGATGGATGGATGGATGGATGGATGATGAGGTGGATAGATTAATGAGTAAATTAATGAGTTATTGAGTTGATTAATTAATGAATGAATGAATGAATTAATTAATTAGTTATTAAATTATTGAAGAGAGATTGAAAGAACCAAACAATAACTAATGAGCAAAAGATCGAGAAAATAAAGGAGCGTAAACTAAATGAATAACCAAATAAAAAAAATAACCATCCAACGTGCTCTAGTATTTTAACTTTTAATAATTAGCATTTCTCACTAAAAACTTGTTTGTTTAAACAGCATTTTTAACATTCATTCATTCATTCATTCATTCATTCATTCATTCATTCATTCATTCATTCATTCATTCATTCATTCATTCATTCATTCATTCATTCATTCATTCATTCATTCATTCATTCATTCATTCATTCATTCATTCATTCATTCATTCATTCATTCATTCATTCATTCATTCATTCATTCATTCATTCATTCATTCATTCATTCATTCATTCATTCATTCATTCATTCATTCATTCATTCATTCATTCATTCATTCATTCATTCATTCATTCATTCATTCATTCATTCATTCATTCATTCATTCATTCATTCATTCATTCATTCATTCATTCATTCATTCATTCATTCATTCATTCATTCATTCATTCATTCATTCATTCATTCATTCATTCATTCATTCATTCATTCATTCATTCATTCATTCATTCATTCATTCATTCATTCATTCATTCATTCATTCATTCATTCATTCATTCATTCATTCATTCATTCATTCATTCATTCATTCATTCATTCATTCATTCATTCATTCATTCATTCATTCATTCATTCATTCATTCATTCATTCATTCATTCATTCATTCATTCATTCATTCATTCATTCATTCATTCATTCATTCATTCATTCATTCATTCATTCATTCATTCATTCATTCATTCATTCATTCATTCATTCATTCATTCATTCATTC